CGTTCAAATCCCCGGCACCACATATGGTTCCCTGAGCACGCCTCGGGGTCACTCCTTGGCACCGAGTCAGGAATAACCCCTGAGTATGGCCAGGTGTGGCCCAACCTCAGAGAAGAAGCAAAACTCTGGTGCTCAGAGTTAACTCTGGTGCACAAGGCCTGGGAGGGAGCTGTGAACATTTCCTGCAGGAGTGTTATGCTCCAGGTAAAGTTTAGAAACCAAAAAAAAAAAAGATCCTTCCCCACCAGAACCCCTGGCGCCCTGTCTCTCTCAGAGAAGAAGCCCCACTTACTGCTCAGGGCCACCTCCCCCCTGCTGTCTCCCTTCCTGCCACTCACATTCAGCCCTTCCTCACTGCCGAACTTCTCCCTCTCTCTCTCAGATGATGAGCACACACAGCCACTTCCTGATGCAGAAATGTGAGCTCCCCTCTGCCTCGACTTCCCCTCTAGCTCCCTCCCTGGTGCTGGCCTTACCCTTCTTCCTTCTGATTTGTCACCAGCAGCAGCCAGAAGGGCCTTTCCAGCAGGAAAACCCCAATGTGATTCCCTCCCCCCTTTCCCCAATGTCTCCCTTCTCCTGCTGTGGTGGGTGGGATTCTGGGGGCTCTCTTCTGGGCCCCCCAACCCACTTCAGTTTGTGCCTCAGCTCCTGAGTCTCTGCTCTCCACCGGGGCCTCTCCCCGACCTCCGCCCCCAAACCCCCGCCATCCATGCCCTCCTGGGCCTCTCCATTGCCCTCAGGCCTCCGGTCAGACACCTTTCCGCCTTCACGAGCGAGCTGGAGGCAACATAGGGATGGGGCCTGGGGTGCACAGCCCAGGCTGCAGGCCGGCATGAAGGTAGAAGGGAACTGTCCGCCTTGAGATTTCGGAGAACGTAGAAACAGAACATGAGAGCTTGGAGACCGCTCAGAGGCCTTCTCCCAATCCACCTTCTGATTTACGAAGGAGAGGATGGACACCTACGGGGGCGGGGGGGGGGGGGGAGGAGACTGGTACAAGTAAGAAAAGGTGATGAATGAAAGTGAATATTTAAGGCCAGAGAGATTAACAGACTGAGCACAGAGTGACCCCCAGGTACAGAGCAGAGCTGGGAGTAGCCAGGAGTAGCTTTCAGTTACCGCCCAGGTGTGGCCCTAATGCCCGCCCCCCACGCACCCCACCCAACCCCCGTATCCAGTAACTATTTAGTGCTAATAAAGGTAAAGGTAAAGGCCCTCCCGTTGATCGTCGATTTGCTCAAGCGGGCCCAGTAACGTCTCCATTGGAGACTTTGTTGTTACTGTGTCTGGCATATCCAATACTCTCGGTAGCTTGCCGGGCTCTCCGAGAGGGGTGGAGGAATCGAACTCGGGTCGGCCATGTTGGCCGCTTGTAAGGCGAACGCCCTACCGCTATGCTATCGCTCCAGCGATAGCATATTATTTAGTGCCAATACGCTCCTGAAATAAGTTAAGATGTTTCTCTGGACGATGATGTGTAGGTCTCTGCGTAGCTTCCTCACTTTGACCACTAGATGGCGCCAGCTCCCCAGGCAGCAGAGACAAAAGCGCTGGCCAGCTCCGGGCTTCCAGCCTCCCGCCTGATTTCTCCCCTCACACCTGGCACTGGGTGAGCCCAGGTGCATGATGCACAGGCTCCAGGAAACAGCTGCTTCCTTCAACAGGTACCTTCTCTTGGTGCCAGGACGCAAGGGGCAATGGAACCTGGGCATTGCCTGGCACTGCCCTTCTCCCCTATGCTCGACTCACAGAGGCCCTGATGCAGGGGCACCTGCTCATCTTGTTGGCCCAGGCGAGGTAGAGTAGGCGGTGCTGGTCCCACGGCATCCTTTGGTGACCTGGCCACCCGAGCTAGCATCTGCCCGCCCTGTAGCCAGTGGCTCTTGTCCTGCTGGCCTGGCAGGCCCCTGGGAGGACGCTCCTGGCAATAGCCTGGAGGGAGGCAGCCCGGCACTGGTGCTGGTTCTGTGCGTGCCCTTCCCTAGCCCTGTGAGGCATCTCAGGTGACCCAGCTTTTCTCCAGCACAGAGGGTCTTGGCTCTTCATTCAGGAAATATCTGGGTCCAGAGAGAGAGAGAGAGAGAGTGCATGGAGGGGACGCTCTAGGGGGATGGAACCCACCCCCCCATCAAAGTGAGCAAGTGAGCATTGGGGATAGCAGTGGACACAGCCTGGTGACTTGGAGCTGACCATGCGTGCAGTGGGGATCCTAACTGGTCTTTTAGGGTCAATTCTTTTTTGGGGGGCCACACCTAGCGATGCACACCTGGCGATGTCTTGTCTCTGCACTCAGGAATTTCTCCCGGTGGTACTCAGGGGACCATATGGGATGCTGGGAATCGAACCCAAGGCAAACGCCCTACCCGCTCCAGCCCCAGGGTCAATACTTTAATAGCTCTCTTGAGCTCCTGGTGCTGCCTTGCTGGCCTATTTCTAAATGCTTGGACTTTCAGCGTTGAATGAGCACAGAAACTATTCAAAACGGATGGACCGGCCACGTCCGGGAGGCCAGGTCCCCGTCCAGCGCTCACTGGAGTGAACGACAGCTCTGGGATTCCGTGAGGAGGGAGAAGGAGAAAGTCAGGAGGAGACCCCACCGGGAGGAGACTCCTCGTTTTCAGAGTGGATGAGGCCCAGAGGAAGGTCTTGGCAAAGCACTGACCTTTCTGGGTGCGGAACTGGGGGTTCCAAGACCGGCCCTGCCCGCCTCCCCCGCTCTCGTCCAGGGAGGGGGAGCCGGCCCGCCCAATGCCCTTCCTGTCCCAGCGCCCCAGGCTCTGGAGCCCTCTTGGCAACAGAACAGAGGGCATCCAGAGCGGGTGGCAACTCGCCCCGCCACGGGCTCGGAGCGGCGCGCGATAGGCGCTGGGGGGACGCGGAGATAGACAGACAGATAGCGCTCCCCTCGCCCGCCCGGCCCCCGCCCCCACCTTTCCCACGCCACGGCCTCCCCCGGAGCTCAGGCCACGCGGGTACTGCTGCCCCACCCCGGCCAGCGGACTGTGACCCTCGGCCTCCACCAGCTGGATCTCTCCGAGTCCCTCGAGGCCCTGGCACGGGCGCCCCTGGGGTCTGATTCTGGAAAGGAACCCAGAGCCCCCAGCACACACGCTTTGCTGGCAGGGGTGGAGGAAGGAGAGCGCCGTCGGGCGGGCAGGGGAGACGCAGGAGGCTGCAGGTCCCGAGAGTGACCACGAGGTGGCGCGCAGGCACCGCGTGTCCTGGGACGCGTGGGCAGGCAGGGGAAGGGGCCGGGCAGCCGCGGCAGCTGCGCGGCCCGAAGGGTGGATGCGGCTAAGGACTGAGACGTGGAGGGGCGCCCCTCCCGGCAAGAATGCACTGGAAAAACGGACTTCGTGGCCAGAGACATTTGGAGGAGTTTGTGGGCCAGAGAAGGACGCGGAGCTGGGGCGGTGGTGGTGGTGGGGGGAATCCCTAGAAAAGGGAATCTCACGTCTTTGTGTTCTGGGGGGGGACTGAGTTCAGTGGAGCTTCACGGTTCCCAGGAGGATCAGGAAGGTGCAGAGGCTCGTGTCCACATGGACACAGAACCCCACAGCCCCACTCAGACACAGCCTCCCCAGCACACTGACCCCACACAGTACCCCCCCCCCCCACACACACACACGCATGCATGCTAGGAGTGCTGGAGGAGGAGGACTCACACCTGAGGGAGCCCCCTCCCCAAATGCACAAAACTTGGCCCAAGTTTACTGTAGGCTGAGAACCGGCCTATGTCCCAGTAACTTAAGGGAGCTCCAGTCCTGATCCCTGCACCCGTCTGTCTGTGCACCTCAGGGTCAGACCCCCACTGCCCCGGTTGGTGAAATAACAGCACTCAGCCACTGGCTGCACCCACACAGCTGGACGCCCCTAAATGCACAACCCTGCCCTCAGGCCCACCCCATCAGGGCCCTCCCCCAAGGTTTATGACCCTGGGAGGCCCAGGGCACTTGTGCGGATGACCCCTGACTCCATAAAAATTGCTTAAATCCCAACTTATGGCTGCATTGCTATGAAGACTGTGTTTGCATCATAGGTCCAACATTTCCTTCAAACTTTCTTTTCCCCTCCTCTTCTTCGGATTTTAAAACATGTTCATGAGGACCCAGAGGTCCTCCCCTCTTGGGGGACATTTGTGTGCTTGCATACACACACACACACCAACTAGGACCAGCTCCCCTCTCAAACTCCCAATGGGCACATTCCCTAGCTTTGCATCACACCTGAGCCCCCCTCCCAGCCCTGACCAGGGACAGACAGACTGACAGATCCTTAGGGCTCAGTCAAACCACCCTCCCCCACGAGGTCCTGCGGGTGCTTGGAGGGGGATATCTGGGCTGGGGGAGGGGGTGAAGGGAGGAGGAATGGGGTGGGGGGCTGTGCGTGTGTTTTGGGTAATAACAAAGAATAGTGGGGGAGAGGGGGTGGAGGGAGGGGAAGAGAGGAGAGGAGAGGAGAGGAGAGGAGAGGAGAGGGGGAGAGGGGAGGGGGAGAGAGAGAGGAGAGAGAGAGGAAAGGGGGGAGAGGGAGGAAGAAGAGAGAGAGAGAGAGGGAGAGGGAGGGAGGGAGAGAGAGAGAGAGAGAGAGAGAGAGAGAGAGAGAGAGAGAGAGAGAGAGAGAGAGAGAGAAGCGCAGGAGCCTGTTTTGCCTCGAAGGCAAGACTTGCAGCCAATCAGCGCGCAGGAGCCTCCCTCCGCGACTGCTCTATTGAGTCTATAACCGGCTGGCCGGGCGGAGCTGGGAGCATTTGCCTGTGGCTTGGGACGCGGCGAGAGGCGCGCAGCAACTGCCCGAAGGACGGCGATGGTCTGAGCGCCCCTCGGCCTCCCCTCCCCCGAGACGCGCGGCCCGGCCCTGCGGCCCCCTGCGGACACACGCCCCCGCCGCTGTCCCCGCCGCCGCCGCGCCCCCACCGCGCGCCCGCCCGCCCGCTGCGGCCACCCGGCCGGCCGAGGCCAGCAGCCCCCGGGGAGGGAGGCTCGGCGCCCGCCAGCATGAGCGGCTCCTTCGACCGCAAGCTCAGCAGCATCCTCACCGACATCTCCAGCTCGCTGAGCTGCCATGCGGGCTCCAAGGACTCGCCCACGCTGCCCGAGTCTTCCGTCACGGACCTGGGCTACTACAGCGCGCCCCAGCACGACTACTACTCGGGCCAGCCCTACGGCCAGACGGTGAACCCCTACACCTACCACCACCAGTTCAATCTCAACGGGCTCGCGGGCACGGGCGCCTACTCGCCCAAGTCGGAATATACCTACGGGACCTCCTACCGGCAATACGGCGCGTACCGCGAGCAGCCGCTGCCCGCGCCCGACCCAGGTGAGCAGGACCGCGGGGCGCGCGCCGCGGCAGGGCCACCCCCGGGACAGCACGGCGGGGGCCCGGAGGGGAGGCGAGAGAGGCGCTGCTGCTGGACGTGGAGCCGCTGGGCTCCGGGGGACCGGCGCGGGGCGAGGGGGCCGCCAGCCAGCCCACCAGTCGCCGGCCACACCGGGCTGCGCGCGCGCTGGGGACCCGGGTCTCGGGGAGGACCGGGGCGAGCTGGGCGAGGGACCCGGGGGCTGCCCAGGATGAGGGCGTCCAGGTGGGTCCGCGCGCCCTAATGCAGGCGGCCCGCCCTCGCGGTTTGGAGAACTTGGGGGTAGGCGTCGGGGACTGGGAGGTCGAGGGACCACCTCCCCAGCCCCTCTCCAGGGTCTGGCCCGGGGATCGGGGGATCAGGAGAGAGAAGACCCACTGGAGTTTCGGGGCTCGGAGGGGGGAAGCGAAGGGAAGCTGCCGCGGAGCCGGGAAGCGGCCGGAAAAGGGAAAGGTGGAGGCCGGAGCGCAGGAGAAACGCGCGGCGACAAAGCCAGCAGAGGGGACGGGAGAAAGGAACCGGGGAAGGATGGGGAGGAAGGAGGAAGGGCGGGATGGAGGGGAGTCCGCGCTGTGCTGGCAACTTTTCGCAAAGTCGCAACTATGTTACATTCTTTTAAAAAAGTTTTTTTAAAGCTAAAATTAAAAGGGTTTTATTTTATTATTTTAATTTAAGGGAAGGCAGACGGACTCTAAGGGTGGGCGCGAGGGAAAGGCGCACGCGGGGCGGGGTGAGACACGCGGCGGGGCGGGAGGGGAGCCGGGCCGGGCTCGCCGGGCGGGTTGCTGGCGCCGGGAAGCGCGCCGTGGGCTCGGGGCGCGGAGCGGGGGCGGCAGCGCCGCGTCGTGGGCGGCCGCCGTGCCCCGCGCCGCCGCGGCTCCTTCCCGACGCGCCCGCGGCCAGCTGCGCCCGGGGCGCCCGGGGCGGGACGTCCCACGGGTCCCGGGAGGGCGCGGGGTGGGGGTCGCAGGCCCCGGCTGAGCCTTCCCTCCGGCTGGTCTGCCCGCAGTGTCGGTGAAGGAGGAGCCGGAAACCGAGGTGCGCATGGTGAATGGGAAGCCCAAGAAGGTCCGCAAGCCCCGCACCATTTACTCCAGCTACCAGCTGGCCGCCCTGCAGCGCCGCTTCCAGAAGGCTCAGTACCTGGCGCTGCCCGAACGCGCCGAGCTGGCAGCGCAGCTGGGCCTCACGCAGACTCAGGTCAGTTTCGGCGGCGGCGGAGGAGGCCCCGGGGCAAGGGGGGCGCCAGACCCCGGGGCTCCCCAGGCGCCGCCGCGCCTGTCTGGCTTCTAAGACTCCTGCTGGGCGCAACTTCTAGGAGGAGTTTCTGCGTTTGAGGGCACAGGGCCGGGATGTGTATGTGTGTGTGTGTGTGTGTGTGTGTGTGTGTGTGTGTGTGTGTGTGTGTGTGTGTGTGTGAAGCGGCCACCAGCATCCCCAGCCGCTCTGGTCACTCTCTGAATAGGAGTCCACGTCAGGTGTCCTCCCCCAGGCTAGACATGTCGGTACACATGTATATGCGCTAGTCATTGCTGCGCCCTGGCGACTGGCGCCACACGCATGCACGGTCATACACACACACACAAGGTCATCATGTTTCTGCACGGAGAGCACGAGGATGCGGCTGTGCGTCCGGCCGGCCGGTGAATGTGTGGACAAGAATGTGTGCTTGCCTGGAAGCCTGGAAACCTCACATTCTTGCTAGCACCTGAGTGCCCCTCCCCTCGCTGCTGTCCACCGTGGGCCAGAGAGTCAGAGAGGAGAGGGCCCCCGGAGGGAGTCCCGCCCCCACCTCGGTGGGTCCTCAGAGCCCCCAGCGACCTGTCACTGCTGGGGGAGGAGTGGCGGCTGCCTGGCTCCCAACAGGTGTTGACAGGCGGGCCTGGGCTGCGGCTGCGTGGGGCCCGGTCCGCCGGGAATCTGGGTCACCCGGTGAGGAGCTGATTCATTGTTTGTACCAGTCAGTCATGGGGTGGGGAGAGGCGGGGGGGAGGGGGAGACACCCCCCAGGGAAATGGAGGGACTCGGGCCTCAGCTGCTCCTGAGGCCCCTGGTCGCACCCCCTCCCCCACCTCAGCCAGCCTCAGCCCCAAGGAGCTTGTCCACGCCCGAGTGTGTGAGTGAGCATGGCCGCTGTGGTTTGCAGTGTCTGGTCTGGGTGTATCCGCGTGAGTGTGTGCGTGCGAGGCTGTGAGTGGGTACGCTGCTGCCCAGGACATGTTCATGGGGGTGTGTTTGTCTTCACCTCTCTGGTGCCTCTGCTTCTGGGTTTCTGAAGACCACTAAAGAGCAGGGGTGCCCCTCCGCCCCCCACCCACACTGCCTGTTCCGGGCGCTTGCTGTGGGTCAGGCGCCTGGACCTGAGGGCTCTGTCTCTGCTTCCTCTGTCCACCTCAGGATAAGCCTGGCCCCCATCACTCCTATGGTGTGTCCTGAGAGAGGCATGACCAGAGGGGTCGGGGGGGGGGTGCCCGTGGTCCCATCCCTAGTAAGTGGCAGTGAGGGTTCGGAAGCCACAGTCCCTTGCCCTCAAATTCTGTCCCAGCCCGGAGAAGGTGCAGGCCGTCATGTCTGGCTCCCTGGACGGGTCATTCACTGGGTCTGCAGTGGGGGGCTTCGCTGAGCATTCTGAGGGCTCACCAACTCCCCCTTTCTCCTGGGATGCAGGTGAAAATCTGGTTCCAGAACCGACGCTCCAAGTTCAAGAAGCTCTACAAGAACGGGGAGGTGCCCCTGGAGCACAGCCCCAACAACAGCGACTCTATGGCCTGCAATTCCCCGCCGTCCCCAGCCCTCTGGGACACGTCCTCGCACTCGGCCCCGGCCCCCGCCCGCAGCCAGCTGCCCCCGCCGCTCCCCTACAGTGCCTCCCCCAGCTACCTGGACGACCCCACCAGCTCCTGGTACCACGCACAGAGCCTGAACGGACCCCACTTGCAGCAGCAGCCGCCCCAGCCGGCCACCCTGCACCACGCCTCCCCAGGGCCCCCGCCCAACCCCGGGGCTGTGTACTGAGCACCCAGATGGCCTGAACCTCCCACGAAGGACCCCCAGGACCAGGCAGAAGGCGCCTCTGTCCTTGCCGACACTCAGGAATCTCGGAGGGGCACGGGGGAAAGGGCATCCCCCTCTCCCCAGCCCTGCCCCTTCTTCCAGGGACCCAAGAGCTGCCAGACGAATTGTGCATGGACCCAGGTTGGCCCTGCACCCCCCTCTCCCTGCCTAGACATCGGGGTACCCCTTCAGATGTTGGAGCTCTACTCCTGCTGGGACAGTTGACCCCCGTCTGTGCCAGGAGCCCGGACTGGCCGTCCACGGCCAATCGCTCACCTCCATCTTCCAGCTTCTGACATTAGTCCTCGTTCATTCTGCAGCCGGGAGATACGGGGGGGTGGGGAGGGGCTGTGCAGAGTGGGCAGCTGGAATGACACCTGCCTCCTCCTTCCTGGGCACCCCCTCTGCCAGAAAGACATTGGACCACGTGACTGGGACTTGGGGTGGGAGGCGGTGAGGTGGCCCCCACCCTGCACACTTTTTACCCTCTTTTGTTGAGCTTTGAGGGTCAAACCAAAGAACCTGTCCCCAGAGTGTGGGAGCTTTCGAGGGAAGAACTATGGCAGGTCGCAGGCACGCCACGGGGAGGGGGCCCCTCTCCCCAAAGGTCTGCCTTCCTTGGACAGGACTTTGCACAAGCTTGGTTTTAAAAAGCTGTTGAAAAATGAGGAAAACAAAGGGCATTGATTACAGATAGGACCAATCCCTGCCCCTGCGCAGACACCTCGCCCCCACCCCCACCCCACCCCCTCCTCTCCTCCAGTAAGTTGGCAGTTTGGGCGCCAAACCTCAAATCTCCAAGGAGACGTGCCAGGCAAGCCTAACCCCCAAACGCCCCCTTTCTGGTGGCCTTGGAAACAGATTGCTCCAGCAGCCTGGAGAAGGTCGAGTCAGCGCCCAGGAGGGGGGAGGTGGGACTCCAGGCCTTGAGGGGTGAGGAGGTCTTCCCCAGGCTCTCGCATCCCATGACACTCTCCTATTTATGTGGTCCTTTCCTCCTGGACAAGTCCGCCTGGGAGCGGGGAGAGACAGGGGTTTGTGGGGGTGCCGGAGCGAGAAGCTCCAAGAATCCCACCCCATGGGGACAGGCGTGAAGCCAGCCCCACTCCCACCTTCTCATTTCTGCTTTCTTACTGGACCCGTCTTTATATATAACGTTAATAAAAAAGCAGTGCAGAACCACTGAGCTCTTTGAACTCCAGGCCAGAGGCAAGAGGCAGCCGCCGCTCAGGGGCGGAACTGGGAGTCTGGGAAAGTGATGGGTGGAGGGGGGATGGTGCTGGGGGTGCTGGGGGGGGAGTCAGAGCTCGCTCGCTTGGGGGCCCCAGCCTAGGCTGGGCTGGGTGAGCAAGCGGCAGGTGCTCCTGGTACCACGGTTGCCCCAACCTGGGCAGGTCTGGGGAGGTGGGAGGTGCCCAGCTTGGCCTCCCTGACTCCACTCGGCAGCTTGGCGTTCCCCGCCAGCCAGCTGCCCTCCGCCGCAGCCGCCGCCACACCACCACCGGGTCACCTCGGGGCTGTTCTTTGATCTCCAGCTCACACGCAGACATGCTTGCACACGCGTGTAAACCCCCTCATGCCTCCACGCCCAGGCACTCTCGGGCTGCCCCTCAGCCTTCTGGCTCTCCCCTGCCAGCTGGGGGTGGAGGCAGGAAGACTCCCTGGGAGCAGGGACCCCAGGTCATGGGCCTCCCCACGGACCCCCACAGAGGAGGCATTGGGGTTTCCCTTGAGGGCTGGGGGCCTGACTTCCCCTCCTGGACTGGCCCCCATCCCGCCCAGGCGGCTCCTCTTTTGGCTGCTGAGAACTGGGATGGTAGAAGGGGATAGGGTGGGCCACCCTCATGGCAGAGGGAGACCCGGGTGGGGGGGGGTTGCCCCAGGTACCCTCAGGATAAGCGTGATCTTCAGTACATGGGGAGCAGCCCCACGACGGCCAGATTCACCCGCACTGGGATACCTATGTGGATACCCACGGAGGTACCCGCACAAACACACGTGTATCCAGAGTGAGGGCTGCTGACACCTAGAGATGGAGAACCTAACACACAGGTGCACACCTGTACACACACACACACACACACACACACACACACACACACGCTTGTGCGCACATACACACTTGCACATGGAGGCACCTTTCTGCATGGAAAAAGCCTTGGATGGAGGAGTCGGCACAGCGACACACAGAGCTGACCCCACTCAGCTCAGCCTGCAACTGCCCCATCTGGCCTCAGTCTCCCCCTCTGTCAAGGGGGGACAACCACAGCCACCCTAGGGGCCTCCGGGACACCCTCCCACCTTCCAGGTTCCAAGCAGAACCAGGTGAAAGGGCCTAGGTCGCTCGCTGATGGGGTGGGCTCAGAGGCCCGCCTGGCCTGGCAGCCCCTGGACAGGGACAGGGCACCACAGGGGGTACTTCCTGCAGAGCTCCAGAGCCAGAGCCGGAGCCCACCCCACCCCCACCCCAGCCGCCTCTTCACCCCTCTCCCGCCCTCCCGGAAGCCAGGCCTGCCCCTCCCCCGGGCCCTGGGGAGGCGGAAGGGAGGAGGGCCTTCAGCCGGGACGCCAGCTGGGCTGGCAAGGGTTAAGCGGCAGCTGCCAGGCGGGGCCGAGCAGAGCAGTTTGGTTCGAGGGCTGCGTGCGGGCAGGAGCTGCGAGGCGGCAGCCGGGCAGACTTGCTGGAGACACTGCATTTTATTAGGGCTGGGCTGCCAGCAAAGGGAGGGCGAGGGGAAAAAAGGGCAGAAAGAGAGAGGAAGGAAGGAGGGCGGGCGGCGGGCGGGCTGCTGGGATGAAAGGATGTTGTAAGCTCCCTGATTCCTCGCTCAGCCCTGCTCCGTCAGGCTGGATTAACTGCCCGGGTGACCTCCCGAGGGGTTCAGCCCCACCCCTGACCTCCCCTTCCTCCTCAGCTCACCTCCAGGCCAGGCCATCACCCGAAGCTAGCGCCCCTGCGGGGGGCCGGGGGCACACACAGAGCCAGGGGCCTGGTGGCCAGGCAGGTGCTTCAGGACCACCACACCCAGGGCCCATCATCGCCTCCTGACACTTTTTCAGGGGGGAGGGGTGTGTGCTCCAGGGAACCCCAGCCAGCCCTGAGGGTCGAGGTTCTCTAAAAGGAAGTCAAAGCTGGAGTTGGCTCAAGGCCTCCTCCCCAGGGCTGGTCCCAGGGCTAGCATCCTCAGGGCAGCCTGGGGGGGGGGGGTTCCCAGTCCCCCTTCTCTGATGGGATGCTGAGGCTCTGCCAGGTCCCGCCTCTGTCATGTGTGTTCTGAAGGGGCTTTTCTGCAGTCCTGTGTACCCACACACACACACCGGACCGGGCACTGATAGGAAGTAGATCCCAAAGAACCTGCCCACCCCAGCAGGCTGACCTCTTCCTGGGTGCTCTCCTGGCCAGGGGGTGGGGTGATTAGAGGGCATGGAGGGTGGGACAGGTCCTGGGGGAAACTCAGGGCCAGGACTGTGCGCTAGAATGTGGCACCACAGACCCACAGTGAGGCTGCCTTCAGCATAGAATGACTGTGTGTGCCAAGGTGGGCAAGCCAGTCTTCTGAGCCTCAGTTTCCCCTCTGGTTCCCTAGGGACCCTGCTCCCTGGCCTTCAGGATGGGTGAGAGAATCAGAGGAGACGGTGAGGGACTGAAGGTGACATGCTTGACAAGGGCACTTCTGCGCAGCCAGGGGAAGTGGTTGGTGCTGGGGCCAAGGGATATAGTGCAGCAGGGAGGGCGTTTGCCTTGCACACACCCGACCTGGGTTCAAACCCTGACATCCCATATGGTCCCCCAAGCACTGCCAGGAGTAATTTCTGAGTGCAGAGCTGGGAATAACCCCATGAGCATCACTGATACGACCCAAAAAGCCAAAGAGAAAAAGTCGTTGGTGCCAATGGTGACAAGATAGGTGGGCTCCCCCTGAGCCCTGGGACTGTAGGGTCCCCCAGCACTGCCAGGAGCAATCCCCAGCACTGCTGGGTGTCAACCAAAGTGGAGGAGCTGGAGCAATAGTACAGTGGGTAGGATGTTTGCCTTGCATGCGGCCAACCTGGGTTCGATTCCCAGCACCCAGCATCCCACATGGTCCCCCGAGCACCATCAGGAGTGATTCCTGAGTGCAGAGCCAGGAATAACCGTTGTGCATCACCGGGTGTGACCCAAAAAGCAAAAAAAAAAAAAAAAAAAAACCAACCCAACAACAACCCGAAGTGGGGCAAGTCTACCGAGCCTCTGCTGAGGTAGGGTCTTCTGGGGGCTCTTAGTACAAATGGCCAAAGCTTGGAAATGCCAGGCACTGTCTGTGCCAGGGGCCCAGACTCCCAGCCAGAGGAAAAAGCAGGGTGGTGAATCATGGCAGGTGGATGGAAACCTGGGAAGGCTTCCTAGAAGAGGTGGCACTTGAATGAGGCTTTGAGCAGGAGTGGGGAAGTTGGGGGGTATGAAAATACACTTCCTGGGGACCCTACTACCACCCCCTGAAGAACAGGACTCCTGAGATGGCAGCGAGGAAGAAGAATGAGGCTGCAGGAGGGTCTTAGAGTCTTGTAGGACCCTCATCAAGGGTGGGCTAGACTCAGTGCTCGTGGAAGGATCTGGAAGGATCGGCAGGGACCCTGAAGGTCCCTAAATCCTTCCCAGATGTTGGGCTCAGAGAAAAGCCAGTCCCTCAGAGACGCGAGGGGAGCCTGGTTCCCTACTCCTGCCCGTTGCTGGGGAAGATGGCAAGGAACTGGGGTTGTCCAGACTGGCCACCCCTCTGCAAGGGGGTCCCCAGGCTGCCTCAGTCTCTGTCTCCTCTATAGCCCTGCAAGCGTTCCTGGCGGGACAGGGGGGCTCTGGGCAGTGGGGCAGGACCTGAGGTGGGGGGCAGGCCCCCCTCAGGTTGCCCAAGCCTGGCTGAGTTGCATCAACCGCGCCCTGAGGGGGTGGAAGAGGAGGGAGGGGGGAGAGCGGCAGGTAG